GAAACAAACAGACTGCTGCGCGCGCCGCTCCGGTCCCTGGGAAACTTCCGCAGTCGTGACGCCAAAACTGTCATGGCAAAAATGGTCAGAACCACGGCGAAAGTGTGTTAGAAAAAAAATAGTCTTGCGGGGTATGTTCGTAAAGTCATTTATTGATGGGCAGACATGGAACAGAAAGCAATCACGAAGTCTGTTAGATGTGGGCCCCCGACTGAGGGCGGAAGAGAACTGTTATACCTTCAGCTATCATCATGTGATAATGAGCAACCAATCAGAATCTGCCTCGTTCTGGTACATGAAGTAGGTCAGCTTGATGCTGACGTCCAGGGATATCACAAGATATGAACAATTGGACAGTGTCAAGGTGATACATAATAAGTATTCCACAACAGTGGTAAAAATAAAAAGATCTAAGATGCTGACCTAACCTTGTGACTAAGCTGTGTGGCATTTTCTGTTAATTTGGATAGCAAGGCATTTGGAGTAGAGTTGTTTTTACCTCCATGAAAAGCAGCAGACTGTTGCCAGAAAGAACTTCTCAAAGCTGGGTTGTTTAATCTGGTCTTTGGCCTGTAGATTGCTGGAGAGCAGTGTGGCAGCTTGTCCCCAGCTGAGATGTCTCTTGGATCTGGTGCTCCTCTTCTTAGGTTGTCCTTGCCTTTGCTGCCTCTTCTCCAGACGAGGCCAGAAGACAACTTACGGCTGAAACTGCTCCCTTTTTTTACTGTTTTTGGGCTATCTTACCCCTTTCTGTGATCTTGTGATAGGCTGTCGTTTTCCACCACTGGACTTTTTGTGTACTTTCCAGAGTGAAGTAATTTTGCTGATCCTTGTAATAGGACTTTCAGGGATTTTCCATGGTGAGGTAAACTGACTTGTTTCTACCACAGGGCCCCTCTGGGACTTTCCAGTCAAAAACCCCACTTCTCCTTTTTCTATTTTTGTTCTTTGTCCATCATGTGTTCTGTTTTGCAGAAGTACAGTTTGTCCTTTTTACCATCCAAATGTAACACACACCCTTCTTTATTTTAAGACATACAACAGCACTTCTCTTAAATCACCATCTTACATTAAAACACATTAATTATCACAGTACATTAGTTAAATCACACTTTGCAATAAGCATATAATTATCACACTTGTTATTTATTTGCCAGCAAAATCAATCAAAATTAATACTTATTACTCCTTCACTTTCTTCTTCCTGCGTTTATTTTCTCTGAGGCCCATTATTCCTGCATCCCAGTCTCTCTTATGGCCTCTCTTTCTGTCGCGTCCCCCTCTCTGTTGAAGGTCAAAGGTGGGCTCTGCCGGCCTGTTTCTAATCCTTGTAAAGGTTGGCACAGCCAGGTTTCTTGACACTGTATTTCTGTGGAATCTTAGAAAATCAAATAGCTCTGAGGGACTGAATCGTCATTACCTGAACTTTGTGATTTCTCTTCCTTTCTTAGGTGTTCATGTCTGTGGATGAGCCAGAGGCAGGGAGTCAGGAGACCCCCAGTGGACAAGACAATACTCCCACCATGACCACTTTGATCACCCCTGCCGCTCTGCCCCCTGAGGAGCGCCTTCTGGTAGAGTTTGATTCCCCTGATTCGGGTCTCCCTTCATCCCGGAACTACTCGGTGACCTCTGCTCACTCTCAGATCTTATCCAGTATTGATGATGGTCAGAGCACAGAGGAAGAAGGGGGGAGAGAGGAGGGCAGGTCTCCAATGGGGGACCATCAGGACTCCTTCACTGAGGACAAATTGTGCAGTCAGCTAGACAAACTGATGACCAGTGGAAGTGCTCCTGATGAGACATCAGCTTCCCTCTCTTCTTACACAGTGAGTATCCTTTAACAGTATGTCTGTTCGGGTGGAAATATTTATTTAACAAGAAACAGAAACACATGATCCAAAGAATACAGGAACTTTGTAGAATGTTGTCTGCTCCCTAAGGCAGTCAGAAAGCCTCGTATAAACACTGTTTAACAAACACCATTATGCCATTGTAATAAATCAAGATTTCGTCATACGGGCTTTGCTGGGTCATGTGAAAACACAGAGATAAATACAAAAAAATATCTAAGAGTGATTGCTGTCAACTGGGTCATTAAAGTATGTCATGTATTACAGGCTTAAAACTTAAAAATATTTTTTATTACAATTCCTCCATTTGATCATTATAAATGATCCATATAGAGCACAAACAACCCTATAATGTACGATATTAACACAAACCTACCCAGCAATGGTGGGCACCAGTCTGCTAAAGCACAAATCTGCTAATTGCGGACCTAAATCTTTTGTTTGCGCTTTAGGGGTCTTACTAATTTTTTATAATTCATAAGCAGATTTGTGCTTTCTAAAATTAAAATGCAGTACTGCTAATAACTAATTATCTACCAGTCATCATTATCTTGAACAGTGGAAGGTATGGCTGTCAAAGAATCACAACACACGTTCTAGGAGCCAAATATCTGTTTTTTATTGTTTATCACCACTAGGGGGCTGTAATTCTGTTTGTGTACTAATTTACAGGTGAGGTATAGGGCTATTTAAGGTTAAACGTGATTCTGTTCAGGTGTTGTGACAAGGAGGGGCAAACAGTTTTCTACTGTGCTTAGTCTGGAGCTCAAAGAAATCATGTGGATGCTTTCAAACTGGATGTAAAGAAGAATAAACAACTTGTAACATAATGTGGAAACAAAGATCGGCATGGTGAACTTTATTGAGCGCACATAAAAATTAAGTCTACCAGAACAGTCTGCAACCAGTACCGCTACATACAGGATTTAGCTGCTGCACACGTGATCTATCCAACAGCACCCCTCCCAGATCCTGTAAACACAATTATTGGGAAGGTATACATCCTTGCTGACTGTTGCTTTGGGTCACGGTTCTGATTTCCTGCAATGCTTTGTGTCTGCTTACGTAGCAGGAAGGCAGTGTTTAGAACTCCCTATCCCAGTAAAACAGTTAACGTTTGTAATCCATACTAAAATCTTGTATGTATTGATTTATTTTACTTTAAAATTGGAGCGCCTTTWAAAAAAAACTAATGTTTAAACGCTGGAGCTCAATACTTGARGTAATTGGTCGAAGCAATCAGCCAACGGGGTTAGACAGACATCTAGTGGTCAACTGGAGCAACTACACGGAAAACTTTAAAATCCAAGCTCTTATTTTGAAGGGATGATAGTTTCCTGTGCTCCGTGCTTTCGTTTCCTGTCACAAAGCAAATCTGTCATGTACCCAGAATGCATCACTTCAGTTTTCCAATAAACAGTTTTAAAATTATTTTATTGATGCTTCTTTAATGAAAAATCTACAATGAACAAAAGAAAAAGACAAAGAAGCAGCCGAACTAGCAATCCTCAACAACTTTTTAATTTTTACACCAGGAGCTAAAGGTCTATTTCAGGAAGTCACATCCCCATCAATCAGCGGTTTTAGGATTAAACTGTTAAAGAGTTCATACACCACTAGTTGGCAGTGTTGTTCATATATTATTGCCAGCTAGTAAGTATCAAATTGAACTTGCGCTTTACAATTAGCTTCTGCTAGTTTTTCTATGGCAAAAGTGCTTTTGAAGTTGCGGACCGTAATATTTTCATACGAGCTTTAGAAATTGTGGAGCTAATTTTTGGATTAGCGCTGCCCACCACTGCTACCCAGATAGGAAAATATGATTGAATGTTGAAATATGGTTAGACATCAATATTCATCCACATTGAAAAAATACAAAAAGTGGTCGGTGACTTACATGTTAAAACAATGTTGGGCTTCCAACCATAACTGATTCAACCTATTTTCCTCCTCCCCCTTCTCCTCCTAGAGAGGGGAGTAGGAGGAGCATATGTTAATTCAACATTGATTAGACATTGGCATTTCAATCATTCAAATTCAACTACAGAACAACATTGATTCAATAACATTTTTCAACACTGGTTAATGGATAAAGTTGGATGATTGATGGTTGATTCACCATCATTCATCGAACTTAACCAAAAACAAACTTTTTGTCCATAATTCAACAATGAATTAACATATTTTGCATATTTTGAGTGGAATAAACAAAAAAAAACTGTCTTGTGACCTCAGACCTCTGATAGGCCTTTAAAGAGAGAGAACTCTGTTCCAATTTAATCTGAATTTGGATCACAACAGGTTGTCGTAACTTTAAAGGGACATTTTTCTTAATCAGATAATGATAATAATAATATATAATTGAAGGACTCATCCATGCATTCATAACAACTCGTCTGGATTACTGCAACTCTTTATATAGAGGGATGGATAAATCGCAGATTCAGCGACTTCAAATGATCCAGAATGCAGCAGRACGGCTTCTCACAGGAACCAGGAAGCATGACCATATAAGGCCAATTCTGYCATCTTTACATTGGCTACCCGTCTTTTAACGAATAGATTTTAAGATTCTTTTGTTAACTTTTAAAGTTTTAAATGGGCTAGCCCCCCCTTATCTTCGGGACCTTTTACATTTCCAGTCTGTGTCCAGAACCCTACAATCAAATAACCAGTTATTACTGACAGTTCCTCGAACTCGACTTAAGAGGAAAGGAGATCGAGCTTTTTCTGTTGCTGCTCCTGTTTTATGGAATAATTTACCTTTCCAGATTAGATCTGTCCACAGCCTGGATCATTTTAAATCACTTCTTAAAACTCATTTTTATTCTTTGGCATTTAATTGATGTATTTTTTTTTTTGCTCTGTTTGTCATTTGTGTTGTTCTTGTACAGCACTTTGGTACAGCTTTATGCATGTTGTAAAGTGCTATATAAATAAATTTGACATTGACATAATAAACATAATAATCTTCTTTTTATTTGAGTTATTTTTCTCTTAACTAAGAGTTATGATGCATTTTGATAATCATGAAACTATATTTATGGATTTTTCTGTGGAAATATTTTACATAACTAAACTAATCATTATGGTTTAAGTTTTGCTGAAACACCAGTGTTTTAGTTGTCTGAATCATATTGCAAATGTTTTTGAGTTTGGAGTAAATCATTCTTTCAGTCATTATTTTTAAAGAGTTCTCATCAGATCATATYTAAACAGGTCATGATATGTTTTTTTATGCAAACTGTGCAGAAGCAATAATCTTTATTAGCTCCAGAAAGCGACAAGTCTGAACTAACATTTTCCTTATCRTCCTGTTTTTACTAATCTATCGACTGAGGGTGGAACCAATAACCTCTTCTTTAGTAACTAATAGTTTCTGCGCTGTGTTCAGAAGGAGACAGACTTCCCTTCTGTCCACAACACTAAGAGCTGTTCTCCTCTGGGAGAACCAGCTCTTGGGACTGTGTTGTTCTACCCTTTATTGCCAAGGGGAACCTCATGGCCAGACTCACACCATTCCTTGGTGTGACCCAAAACTCCTACTGAACCGTGATGGTGAAGCCACATCCATGTAAAGCCTGTTGTGTTTGAGCGTACTTGACTTCCAGCTGATGGCCAGCTGGGAAGATTTGTCCTCTGGTTAAAAACCCACATTTATTTAAGAGAACAAGTAGAAATACTAATATATTAGTCCCTCCTTTTCTCTTGAACATTTACCTTGCCAACTCTGTTATTTGCCTTCAAATGTCTGGTTTATTTAAAATCTAGCTGGATGTTTGCTGTTTCTATTTTAAGTAAGTAAGTGAGTAAGTAAGTAAGTCATTAAGTAAGTAAGTAAGAAGT